TTTTTTGTGCTTATGCGAGGTTCAAACGATCCCATTCTCAAATTTCCGTTTACATATAAGGTCACATTTTGTATGTACGATCAAACTCCAGCACAACGACGTATCACTGATTCATTTCGACCAGATATTAGATCGAATAGTTTTCCACGACTGCGATCGGATATGAATATTGCAAGTGGAATACCAAAATTTTTTCCATTGACAGTGATTCAGCAGGAAGGAAATCCATATGTTCGAGATGATACAATGTTTATCAAAGTGATGGTTGATTTTGATGACATCCCTAAAACGCTTCTACCTTACGCTTTGAGTCTCAATCCAGGCCTACCAACACATGTTTAACAAACGATGATCACAGAAGAAGCGGAACGTAGAGCTCAACAACAACCCAAGCAGCAATAGCATACATCCACTACATAATTGGTATTCGATAGAGATCCATCAGTTCTAGCTCATAACATTAGATCCAATGAGCTAATGAACTGAGCTGTTACAGAAGATCAATTCAGTTCTAGGAAGCGATTAAGCCGTGGCTAATAAGCTGCCTATAACTTTCCAAGAGATCCTTGCAAATGTTTCCTATTAATTTTTAAGGACTATCGACAGGTAGTTTCTATTATTGAAATCCAGTTAACATTATATATTGTAATGCTTTTCTTGCACGATGTTTCTGAAGTTCTGCACTTCATCTTAAAGTAATGTTCAAAGATTATAGCAGTTTTTCAAGCATGTAATCAAAGACTTCAACAGTTCTGTTAATATCTGCAGTCTGCCATTTTTGGAAGATTACTCTAATCATATAATTTGCAACTATTAACAACGTCCGCCGTTAAATTTTCAGAATTGTGAAACTAGAAATAGTTTACTAAATGCTTTATTATTCAGTAGCCTTCGTAAACACGAGTTACTGGGTGTGGATGTGGACGTGGGTGTGGGTGTATGTATCAAGAAAAGAAGATTCATAGCCACACTCCACACCCACACCCACACCATATAATATGTTTTATTTTCGGCTAGGGGTTCCACTGAACTTCTATTTTCCTAGAGAACTCTATAGTAAACAGCATTATCGAGGAATGTTCTAGAATGTGTACAAATTTCTGGTAGAATTTTCAAAAAGTACTCTGCGTTTTCGTATAATTTTTGTGAACTTCTATTGCTACATGGTCTGTGAAAAATTGAATATGATATCTTGTTCAGTCGAGGGCTAAGCGAGTCGAAGCGACGAGCGTTATTTGTAATTAAGTATTAGAGTGCTACAAAATATATTAAAAAATTTTTCAATATTAAATATTAATTATTTTTTATGAGTAGCTTTCCATGAGTACTCTCATAGTTGTCAGAAAAAAATCAGAGAAAAAAGAACTATTACATATACATGAACTGTGAAAAGAAAACATGTAAATTTTGTTTAAAAAAAGTCAAGTGTATTTATCGATATATGTTTATGTAATAGTCCTTATTTTTCTTGTGTTTTTTCATTTTTCAGATAACTGTGAGAGTACTCACGGAAATCTCGTAATAAAAACTAATTAACATTCAACATTGGAAAAATTTTTACTGTATTTTTATAGAACTCATATACTCAATGATTCCCTGATTCATTTATACTATACTCTTCTTAGTGAATTTATTTTTTAACGGATTTCATTTGATACTAATTCATCTCAGTATAATTGCAAATGGGATGAGGGTCAAAAACATAAGCAGCTATAATATCCATGACTGGTGGTAATGAACGTTATTTTCAAATTACTTAAAATTATTTCATTTAGTTATATTTCTCATACATTACACGACGCATAGTGGGATGAATAAACTATCTATTTCTTAAAAATGGTAGATAAAGTTTGCAACTGATAAAAAAAAATGTTGAGTCTGTTCAGTTTTTAAAAGCATTATTTTCAAATCACTTACAAAAAATTCTGTTAACACATATTAAAGGTCGCGTTCATTCATTTGCGTAAGTTTCCCACATATATTGTGAAGGTCATTCTATAATTATTCAATAATCTTTATTAATCTATTCATTGCTCTACAAAAGCTTTGTATTTAATTTACCAACTTGTTCAAACGTGACGGAATCACGTTTTAGGTGTGTGTGGGTAGAATTAATGTGAGTGCATGTATTGTTAGTCACAACAACAGCCACGTCTCATGTTCAGATCCATACTCGCTTCATATCCATATCATACCCATGCCCACATCTGAGACCCACAGCCACATCCACATTCTAAAGTATCGCTCTTTTCTTTGTCAAACTACAGATTCTAACTCACAGGTCATTGGTTTCTTTTAAAAACTGAAATGTGACTCGAAATGTTTCCTATTTCCCAAGTTCTAGATTGTTATTTTGTCGTAGAGTTTTGGTCTTTGTGAAGTTCCTAGATATTTTCAGAAACTTGATATACATGTGCCAGTTGATTTATAAAGAGAACAGCTAAAGATAGTAGTTTTATTAATTGATTATGGTTAAAAATTACATTGTTAATAAAAAAGAAAAATATTAGAGAAAAGGAGTTCTAGTTATATGCTACGTTTTTTTTTGCTTTTCTAACTGCTTCCACAAAATGTCAGTTGTGCTGGAAAATGTTGTTGTGCTTGTGTACAAAGACTGCCACCAAGTACTGGTCCAGATTCAAATGTACCAGGTACATTACAGGAAGTAGCTGGCATGCCCCAATTTTCATATGTATTCGATGTCCATACACAACAATTATCACTAACTTTCGATTTATACGTTTTACCTTTAAATTTAGTTGCCACTGTTTTTAGAACAGCTTCCGATGCTCTTTTATAACCCTTTGCACATTGTCCACCACTGCCATCGAGATAATAACAGTGATTCGAGTGTGAAACTTCATAGTGTGCACAGGTCTTGTTATCTTTGTAAAGAGAGAGAATAACAGCTTTAATTATAGAATCAGCCTTTAGCGCAATGCTCGACTTACTTTCAAGGTTAATATTCAATGGTGATGCGTTTGATAGAACGCACCAAAGTGTAATTGCCAGTACGCAAACAGCGTATGTTGTTAAATATTTATAAGCCATTATTTACTAAATAATGGTTGATGAAAAATAAAGTGTTTTGCGAGAAGAGGATCTAGATGTAGGGTGTTCTAGTTTCACTACACCTTTTAAATATAGGTTAACGCAAAAGAAGAAAATATTGCACAACAATCTTGAAATCTTTTGTTATCTCTCTCACTCATTTGCTAGAATGTTATCTTATCTTTGCAAAAGAAAATGGAGAAAAAAGCCACATCATTTTGATGACAAACAATAATTGTACTGTCAACCAAGAGCGAAATTGGAAAACAAAAAAACTGGAGTAAAAGTTTAAAACTGTAATTTCTGATTTCCTATATCAATCGTTGCACCATTGTTCTTGTGAAGAAGATACGAACTCTATCAGATTCTGCTGGATTTTATCGATATATCCATTTAGACAAATAAAATTTGGAGTTTTGTAGAGTTCGAAAAGTTACATTTAATGCTGTATAAAGTAATCTGTTTGCTATTCAATTTCAGAAATTTTGCAGTATAGAAAATGAAGAGGATATTATCAAATATTTGGGTTGAAAAAATTAAACTACGGTGTAGAAATGATCCGTTATTAGTCAGTACTAGAATATGATACCAACAATTGTCTTAATCAGCTTTGTAGAGGTTTTGTCGCTCTACAATTTGACTTGTTTTTTCTTCTTAAAAGAGTAAAACAAAAATTTTAATTGAAAATATCAAAACTTTTAATCGAAAAACTAGTAAAACTTAAGAATTTCAGTTTTTTTAATATCATTGTGGACTTTCATTGTTTTACAAGACCTGGTGACAACCACATGATTTTTTCTCAGAAATTGCATCTACAGTAAAGATCAAGTCTGGTCACACGTTTTTGTTATAAGTCATGTATTAAAACTACACAATATTATTCTAATTGGTCTATGTGGTTGTATAGTAGAGGTAAAGTACTATGTATATATATATATATATATAAAGAGTGGAGCAGAAGTCCTGACTCGATTTGTACAATTAATTTTTTTATATTAAAAAAGATCTTTAAAAATTGGTCTCTATAATATAAAGATGCAGTAAAAGACGCTCTATCAAACAGCTTATGACTGATCCTCCTCAAATCATATGTTAAGAAAGTTAGGGTGTGGGTGTGGGTGTGTGGGTGGGTGCGGGGTGTGAGGTGTGGGTGAGTGTGAGATGTGGGGGTGGAGTGTGGGTATTAATCTTCCCATCATTCATACCCACACCCACACCCACCCCATATTCCAATTAGAAAAAATCGAACAACATCGATTTCAACGAGATGTAATATCAATCATTTTTTATTAAGAAATAAATAAAAAAAAATTGAAATACTTTAGTCCAAGGGAATAATAAAATCAATTGTTGATAAAACGTTTATAGCTGATCCGAATGTTGAACGATGATTAGCATTTGAAGCTGAACAAGATCCAATGAATTTCGATTAAGAGCAACCATGGCCAACTAGAGAAGATATTCAACAATCTGAACATCAATTAAAATAACGTGTACCTAAAGGAACTTCTCAATATCAAACTACATGGATTATTTCTGATGATGAAGATAATCAGTCTCTCAATCAACAAAATGTTTAGTTTTTTTTAATATTAAATCTTTTTCAATATATTGGGATTTTGATGAAGATCATCAAGAAATGATGACTGATTATGCTGATGATCTACAATCAATTAAAGTTGATCAACAAGAACATGAAGAAGATGGAGAAGAAATGGATGAACTTTTTATGAATCGAAATAATTATGATGAAAAAACAGATTTAAAAGAAGTTAAATAAACGTTTGTTTTATATATCTGATTATATTTATTTTAATTAAAATATTTAATTTAGTTTAAAAAAATTGAAAGAAGCTAAATTAGATGAATAATTTCTTGATGAAGTTGATACGCCAATGGATGTTCCGGCTTGTGTTAGATTTCAAAAGTATTTCATGTTTTTCTTTTTTTTATATTTATCTAATTATATTTTATTGTTCTGATAAAGATGTCGAGGTTTAAAAATTTTTCGAACAACAAAATGGGATCCAAAAGAAAGTTTATCATATAATTATGGAAGAATTTATCAATTTTCTAATTTTCGTACTATGATTAAAGAAATTGAAAGCAAACAAGAATATAATCAACATAAACAAGATCATGCTCAGGTTAAACTTTTCTTTTTAAATATATGTATATATCTAGTTTTATCAAGAGATTTTATTGAAGAATCTTTTAAAAATTATCCTTAAAAAATGATTATGTGCATATCATATAGAAATATTCTTTTGTGCTTTTTCCTATTCTTCCAGAGTTGGTTTTATGTTTAAATTTATTTTGAATAGATTTTCATTAAAAAGAAACAAATATTTAATAATGTTGACGATGAATTTGTTTTGTCATCATTGACATTTATTAATCATAGAAGTTTTATCTGAGTGTCAGATAAAGAGAGAAGAGATGCGGAGTAATTGTTCTTTCCTTGACAATTCTTTATCGATTTTTCTCAGCAGAACTACGATCGTCTCTATTTACTAAAATCTAAAATGTAACATTGTTTATCTCTAATTAAGTACGAATACTTGTAAAAGATAATCTACCCGATTATTTTCAATAAGATTTGTTGAAAGTAGTTGCAATCGTCTTCTCCAACTAAATTTCGAATAAGTTTAGCAGATTGATAATATCATGTCGAATTAATGACTAAAATCTAAATATTCTACGATAAATAGATAATTGTAAATTTCTGAAAAAAATTGATTTTATTCTTAAATGCAAATATGTTGAATAATGTTGTTGATCAGAATTGAAAAGAAAAAAAAGTGTTTTTGACAGTGACCTATCATCATTAGTCAACAAATAATAAATTGTTTTTTTTTCTAAATGAGTTCGTTTCTGATCAAAGAACAAATTTTATGATTGATCAAATCGATAATTCAATTTATTTAAATCAAAATCTGAGCATCTTATACGACTTTTTTCAGTTCTTTTTCAAATAAATCTTTTTATTCAATTTCGAAGCAAAAGATAAGTTTTTGACTGAGCTTGATAGTGAAAAAAGAAAGGTTAGAGAGTGATAATCTGATTATAATCGATAGATGTTGAAATTTATGATTTCATGCAGGTAGATTTTCAATGCTTCATATAGGGTGTGAGTGTACGTGTGCGTGTGAACGAGAAGAACAGCCATGCACACACCTACACCCCTATAGGTACAGTGATAGAGTCTCAACAGTATAGGATGAGTGATATACTTATGAGAATATCGGTAAAATGATATATTCAAAAGAGTATAGACAGGATAATATATCTATGACGAAACAGGTCGAGGGATACACTGACAACACCATAGGCAGAATGATATATCTATAAGGATATACGTGACGTCATATACTCACAAGTCTAAAGGTAGAGTGCTATATTCATGATGAAACAGGTAGCGTGATATACTCTAAAGACGATAGGTAGAGTAATATATTCATGAGGATATAAGTAGCGTGATGTTCTCACAAGAGTATAGGTAGAGTAGTGTACCGGAAAAGGGTATTGGTGAAGTACTATATCCATGTGGGTATTGATAGATTGACCTATCTATAAGGGTTGGAATTGAATGTTATATTCATGACTGTTTTCCTTCACGAATAGAGGTGTAAATTATGAACTTTTTCGCGCTCTCTGTCGATTTCAAGTGGTACCAGGTTGTGAAGGTCTAGTTGTTAGAAGGTTATATTTAGCTGGAAATACCGGTAAGTGTGTTTATAGATGAAAATTTTCTTTAGAGTAAGAAGTTAATTTGAATTATAATTCACTTATCAATATTCGACAGTACCAGTGATGTGAATAATGTGAGACTATGAAGAAATCTTTTGCATTCTTATTAGACCGTCGTGTATGATCATACAAGATCGTACGGTTCGCTCATATGTGGATCTTACGTTAGTGTAAGATCTGATGTAAAATTGCTGACACGACGATTTTTCGTATGATCATATAGGATCAGGTACGATATTACTGTAATAACTGATACGGACTTACAAGAATCTGTCATCGATCTTAGGGTCTGATTTCTCGACCTGGATAGTCTTGGAAGAATCGTACATCAAGACTTGATATAAATCTTGCAGACACGAAAATTTCTCGCACGATTGGCGTCTGATATTACAAGACCATACACGATTAGACTTCTGTAGGGCTCGAACAACATCTGACTGGCTAAATTTCTGCCACCTGAAATCCTACTGGTTGAGTGCTGGAAGCACAAAACATCTGATTGGGCTGTTCAGTAGAACTTTAGTCGGCAAAGACCAATCTCTGCGACGAAGTCTGTTAGGCTCAAAGTGGTTTCCAGCTTTCGAAAGGTCGAAATAACATACTTTCTTCCTGTACGAACGAACGAACGTAACAACTCATTTTTCGTAAGACTCTCCTTTTAGTAGAGGGAACTAAAAAACCACTTTTATCATATGTTGCATGTGATGACATGTGTCTGAAGATATATTTTTTTCATGCATGTACATGCCAAAATCCAACCAGATTATATCTGCAATGCATGTATACGCAGATCATATTTCTTACATAAATTTACAAGAATATGACTTGAGAGCTAATGTAAGAACAAAATTCAGCATGTTTTTACATGTTTCATGCAAAACTTTTTAAACCTATGTTCGTATGCCTGTGTAAGTTCTATTGCCGTGCGTTTACACACAAACTTTAAGCATTTTTCTAAAAACTTGTGTGTCCCTGCGTAACATATGAGGATATCAAAAATATACTGCAAGTAAACCCAAGATTCTTGAACTTTCTCACGTGAGCACACGTGCTTACAATATTGACGCTTGACTGGATTCTAGAGTATAATCTATCGTTCTCTATAATGTATTGTCTGTTTGACAGTGTATGCATAAGTTCTTGAATCGATCTCCAAATGAAAATCCATGAATACATAAAAAATGAAACTCATATTGAAAATCTAATATTAACAACATACGAAGTTTATTACTCATAGAAATCATTCATCATATTACGTCACTTATTATCCCACTCGATTCGGTTGAATGAATACGTTGTCAATAGAGAGAAGAAACAAGAAAAAAAAGACATTGCGTGTTGGTATATTCCCTCTCATTTTTGTAGAGAAAAATACTTTGATGAAAGAATGAGTGACAATTGAAAAATATCATGATTTACTGATGGGAATGTAAACAATATGAGCATGAACTCATTTTATCAATATATAAATCTGTGATTCTCAACATATTCATAGTTCTAAGTTTAATAATTGTTTAATCTTAATCGAAATGCAATACAATATCCATACATCAAATATTCAAAAGCTATATTTGGCTATTGAATTATTCATTGTTTTCAACACTATTCATCATCTTTTCTTCCAAGATCAATCAATTACGAATATTGGATATTGGTTTCGTAAAGAATGGATTGTTCTTCCTAATTATCTCAGTCATTATAAAAGAAATGTTTTGATTATTCATTTCTTTTCCGGTATGATTGCTCTATTTGGTATGCGTTATCAAATCAGTGGTCGTCATAAAACTGATTCCATTATTCACAAATACGTTGGTTATGTCATTGTTTTAAATCAATTATTTGTTCATTCACCTACTATTTTGATAATGAATCAATATGTAAAAGATTATGCATTGTCAAGAAAAATTTTCTACATGATGACTACTCTTGTCACAGTAAAAAGGTCAATAATGTTGGTGAAATATGCTGTGGAAAAAGATATGATCAAACATCAACGATCTGCATTGACTTTATACAACTATATTTCAACATTTACCAAAGGTAGAATATATATGTATGCAGTTCTTCCTTTTCTTCCAAGTTATTGGAAACCTTTTCACATATTCATATCAGATGTCGTGTCTGTAGCATTTGCAGAACGATACTCATGGAAAAGAATGGCAAAACTATTCTTTATCTTTTTCACATATGGACAAGTGATTGAATGGACACCTTGTCTATGGGATATTTGGGCTTTGGTTGGACTTACTTACACTGCTGTTTATGCTTAAGAATTGAATGTTATTATACAAAGAATTGTCTTTGTTATGAATAAAAAATTTTGAAAAACAAAAAACTTCAAGTCGAGTATTACAAGAGCCAAAAACATTAACTTTTATTATCTTTTCATATAGTTCGTGGCTGTAAGTTGACGTTTAGTATGCAGCATGTTACGGTCGTAATTCGCCGTGTCGTAAACTACTAATCACAGCACTAAAACTGGTCGAACAGTTGAGTATACGACTGCTTACGATTGTTTATGGTATGTTGAAATCAGGCTGTGATACGACGCATGTTTACACACGTGTTTTTTTGATTTGGTTGCGAACAAATGATTTTGCCTACACACACCTTAGTAAGTTAGATATTGTCGGATATTCAGTTAAGTCAGTTATGGTTTTGCTTATTTGACGTGTATGCATGTATCGATCGTCCCTTAGCTCAATGAATACACAACTAACATAAATAAATCGAAACATTCGTTATAGACGTTCTATGCCAATATATTTTGCTATTCAATATTTTCAGACAATGATAAAGTTATCTTTGATATGGGAAGCATCTTTCGTATTGATTCGATTATGTAATTGAGAAATGGAGACTCGATTTAGATCGTTCATTTGAGAATTATTGATCAAACGAATATCTTATTTGAATTCAAAACTGAACCATTCAGTCAATGAATTGACCAAAAACAAATAAACAAAGCCTTTCAATCATTCTAGTCGACATTTTGAGAGTGTTTCGAAAAAAAAACAGCTCATAATAAATCATTGAGATCATTGTACTTTATCTTAAACACAAGCTCACTCATATCAGTAGATTTAAGTTTTTAACTCGACAAAAAGAGGTAAATCATAAAAAATATTGTTTATTAATATTGTTCAACTAGCGTAACAATAGTTTTATGGGGAAAAACTCAGAAATCAATCTCTACGAATGAACTAAGCAGAACTTGTCAACTATGAATTTAACATCATATCGAAAGAAGACTTTGATTAAATGTTGATAGATTTTTATTGACATGTTATGATCAAAATTTAATTCTGACTGTTCTCATCTAAATTAGTATGAAAACTATTAATTAACAACACAAAATCTTCGAGCAGTCGATATAGGATCAACATTGTGAGCTGATTCATTGATTCAATTTTCCTTCATCGTGACCGATAAAACGTTTCAAAAATTTCATTCGAAATGAAAAGGAACATAAACTCCTTTTTCCTTATTGTTAAAGTTTACTGTCTCATTTTGAATAACATCATTGTTCTTGTTCTCTTTTTTTTCGAGCGTTATAACTGTGTTGATATGAAGCTAGAGATATCATAAAACAATGTCAACAAATAAATATTATTTTAGCTTTTCTTAGAAAAGTTAACGGAAATAATAAAGAGATAAGATATTCATTCACCGAAAGGTACATTTTGTTGACGAACATGTTATTTGATCTTCGATAAAGCGTTCCTTTATCAAGATAAGAGGTGTACAAACTTCTATGTTAAGAGAAGAAACAACAAACATAAATTTATATGTACTCAAGGTTGCTAAGAAGACGCCTACATTACTGTCTGTTAACATAACATCACTTTTTTCTCTAGTTTCAATTGATTTGATATTATTCAAAGGCATTATTACTGAGTCACAGTTGATTTTCTTGTCTTGTTGACACAACTATTTTATCGATCACTAAGATAATAACAATGAATAGAAATTTGATGAAATTGTTTTTTGAAATAAGTCATTATGCAAAATGAAAAAAACGATTAAGAAAAAAGAGAAAAGTGTAAGAATGTTTCAAGTTGACTGTTCAGATAGATTTTCACTTAGTATACATTCAAATATCTATCGCAGTCATGTGGACAAATGACTTTGTTGTATAATTTGATATTTAGTTTTCTGTTCATAACAATTTTGACTGAGTGTGGGAGTAGCTGAGAAGATTGCTTATTGGAAACAAAAAGGTCTCCATGGTTATTGCACATACGTGTACCTAGCGAATAATTCAAATAGTACCTTTATTTGCTAATTGATAATATAAAAAGGAAAAAACATTCTTTCTCATCTTCTGATAGTTAGTTCTATAAAAGAGGAGAGAAAAAAAGATGAAATCATTTTCATTTCAACATCCATCGTAAAGAAGTGATAACGGACGAGAATCGTATTAATAAAGATGAACTTGTTCCATCTATGCCAAATGCTATTGACAGACGATACGAGACGGTTTTGATTATTGCGCAGTATGTTAATATTTCTTGAAGTCAATCTTCTATATCAGCTTTGAAGACTATTAATGAAATTCTTTTCTTTTTTATTTCCAGGCGCGTTTAAGTGTATCTACAAATAGCCTTGGTCACACTTTCGAAAGTATAAATCAGTATGGTAAGGAATATTTAATTGCTGATCAATGTGGAGAATCAGAAGGTTTGCAAAGTTCATTAGCGCTCAGATATCGTTGCTGTAATACAAAGTTGTGTAATACACTTGGTTTTGGGTTGCAGAATGAAACATCGTTAACTCCCGTAGACAATGCTCATTTGAATAATAGCGTTAGCAAATATAGTGCTGCTCGTATGGAGCATTTGTTTGGACTCATATGTTTTGTTATTTTAGTTTTTTAAGTTTTAAATAAAATCCTATACCCAATATTTTTTCGAGGAAAAATCTTAAAATCGGCTACATTACAACTATTGATAGATAATCAAATGGTTTGATTATGATGCATTGGTTCTTGGAACCTAGATTCGTATCAATCATACTATGAAAATGCATCAGAGATACATACAATATTCAAGTAACAAACCAGACGAACATGAAAGATTCTTGACGATCGATACCATATCACGCAACGAAATATTATAATCTGAAACTCGCCTTTGAAGAGTTCACTTAAAATCATGTTATGACCTAAATACTACGTTAGATAAAACTTACCTTGCATATACTTTGAATGACTGTCTCCTCATTACATCAGATAGCATTCTACGTGAGAGCTTGTTAATATTTTCGTATCACAGTGATTGCAATTATAATAATATGCATTGGTGTGGTTGCGACCGAGAGTACTCTTTTCACATACACTCACATACGCACACTCCAAAGCATACTTTTATGAGTTCTGTATAAAGAGTGACTAGTTGAAGTCTCACGCGGGCAAAAAAATTGCCTTTTTCTATTTCATTTTCGCATCACTTAATGCGTTGTTTTAAAAAAACAAAATATATCACAAGATGCAGCGTGAAAAGCTCTACAATCTACAAAGTAAACCTTATTTTAATTTTGTACTTTTCGTTTTCAAAAAACACAAAATTCTGTGCGACTAATTTTCGGTGCTGCGAGAGGATCATTTTTCTACACCAATGAGAAATTCCTTTCTTCTTTTTTCGATAAACTGTTCTACGTAAATTGTAGAGCTTTGCACGCTGCATCTTGTGGTATATTTTGTTTTTTTTAAAACAAAGCATTAAGTGATGTGAAAATGAAATAGAAAAAGGCAATTTTTTTTGTCCACGCGAGAGTGACAGCGTTCAGTACAATATAATCATTTCGAGCTATTGCTTAATGACAATAGAGGTGTAGTTAAAATAAATTCGAATAATGACGACTGATTGTATTGCATCGAAAATTGTTTAAGATATATGCATAGATCTCGTACGGTTGCCTGCTGATTTGTCAAACATTGATAGACTTGCCAGAACCATTCGACCAATTCTTGATCGTGCCATGTAATAAAGACAAGTGGGCGACCAGCTTCTGAAGCAGCCATTAGTTGTATGATTGCTATTCAAAATATATCATAGAATCCCCTCATATTCTATTGATAACTCATACCTTTGAGCTGCGCATCACCATTAAATGCACCACACCCCCATTTTCCAGTGGCTACACCGAACATGAAATTTTCCATTGATTTCGGTATACGAAAGCATGTATAAGCTTTGATCAATTCTCGACTCATACTCTCAATAGTGTACTGATTGAGAGGATTTAAATAATTAATTGCATCCATAGCTACGACATGAGACAATTTTCGACCCCAGCTATCTCTTAATAAATACAAGTACATTACCATTATTAATAAGAAAAAAAAATTGGTTTACAACTCACTTGGGTGTTTTATCGATAAAATTATCTTTAGCTTTGAATGTATCTGCATAACCAGCGTATGTTACATATTGCTCACATCCAATCAAAAAGATACATTCATTTGATAGCATTACTTCACATATAAGTACACTAACAAGCATTTCAGTACAAATAGTAAAACGTATTTCTTCTTGAACAATACCCTCATTCATCACACCACCACCCTGTAAACTTCCTTGTCATTTGTTAAACTAATACGAAGAAATTCTTTTTCTTTTTACTCACAATAAATTCATTTGCAAAGTCAACTTGTAAAAGACCATGCATATCTTCGATAGTTGTATCTTTTCTTAGATGAATTTTACAAAGTGGTTTTTGTGATTCGGTCCATTTCGGTATCCAAACATCGGGAAGAGCAAAGCGTCGAAAAGTAAGAACACCTTTTGGCACTAATTGTATAAAATACCAATATGAAATTAAGAAAATAATAACAAACAAAGTGATGAGTACATACTATCTTCGCAGATGCGCCGAAAATAATGTAAAATACATTTCAGTTTTTCAAGTTTCCAGGGTGATCCACTTCGAAAAAGACTATAATCGGAAAAAAGTAAGAATTTTCTTGGAAGAAAAAGACTTTCATATTTTTTCTTACTGGATAAAATTGATGCTCTGATATGTTTGATGTTGGTTACTAATTTGATCATTAAATTGATGAGGAAAAAGACAAAAAAAGGCACAAGCTAGTAAAGAAGCAGCCTGTCGTTGAGACATAGTTACGGAACGATGGGTTCCAATGCGTAATAATGGTGGTGGCTTAAGAAAAACACAGATAAATTATAAGAAAATATAGAGATCAATTTAGTATAAACCTGGCTGCAAATATTGCCGACATCAAGAGCAAGAGAAATCATTTTGGAAAGAATGATGGATATGAATTGAGCCCGTTCTTCAGCAGAATAAACCTAATAATAATAGCAATATTCATTGAGTTATACTAAATGTGTGTGTAAAACATTACTTGATTAAGTAAATGTTCTAGACAGCCTATTTCAAAACTAGTCCCATTGCTCTCTTCTATTGCTATCTAAAAAATGAATATTTTATATCTAAATGAAAGCAAAAGCCACAGTATATTACTTTAATGTCGTTGACGGTGGCTGTTTTCTCATCACACTTTTGTTTGAGTTGTTTCAATTTCTGTTGAATAATCGGCCATTTTTGTGTTCCATCGTTCTACGAATAAAAATTCGATATGCATTAACAGGTAGTTTTAGTTTAAACTCACCATTACATTAAATGGCGAACATGGCAAATGAACATGATCATCATTCCATATATCAAAATAATTTCCCATTCCATGAATTGGTTCTGGTTCGAGATTAGGATTCGATGGATCATATTTGAATGGCTATTTAAACGAAGAAAATTTTATTACTATGTATTCGATGAATGTGTATTTCATATTATACTTTGATCATAAATGTGTGACCAACATCATTAATATCTTGCATATCTTTTAGAGTGGGAGGTGCTTGAAAAAGATTAGGAATATCATTCAATGGTACTCCCTAAATGATCATTGAAATCTTACAAGAAAACTGAAATTATATAAATCTTACATGAAACATTTGATCGGCAGTCTCGTTATTTTTTTGTTGTTGATCAGTCATGTTCGAATTTGAACTTGTCAAGATAAAACTATCTATGTGGAATATTTCGTAATATCTTCACGAGTATTATCTTAGACATATATTTGAATAAAGATTTTTATAAAAGAGTATCATCAGAAGTTTTTCTAATTTTGAAGTAAATAGTTTCAAAAAATTTTTGAATTACGAATTTGTTAAGATGTACAAATATTTGAAAGAGAAACTCGTTTGAAATTCTCAAAACTACTGACATTTCTTTTATTTCAAATCCAAACATTACTATAAATATGATTGAGAACACTAGTTGCTCTATCCTTTCACTTTCAATTTTTCTTTATTTCAAGTCATCGTTGAAGGCTGAAAAATAAACTTTTTGACATGCTTACGTTCTCTCCGTTGTTCTTTGTAAAACAGAATGTAATTACAGACTAAAAATTTTGTCAGTTTCTTTTATCAACGCAAAAAAGCGGTGATAAGAAATCGAGAAAAAAAACAGTTGCTTGCGCTGTTTATGCACATTTTTGTCAACATATGATAAACAGGGGAAAAACGAGAATACTTATATGCAACAAAGGAGAATCACTATGAATGTTACTCACGTCTGAAGAAACGAGCCTATATAAGAAAAAAAGAACAAAATAGTCGTAAAAAAATGATGAAAAAAAGCTTAAAAAAACTTATTCGGTTTCCTTCTACAAACTACAAAGGTCGAATAAGAACGCTTGTAAAAGGTCGTAAATCGTCATAGCAAGTAGCTTCGTATATGATGCGAAGTAATATGATCGTAGTACAACGCTATGTAATATGTCAAAATGCAATCGTTGCCATTAGATTATCGTGCAAGACGTGAATTTTGTTCCTAAAAATAGTTCGTTGAGCAGTGAAAAATAAATATGAAATAAATTTCTAAATTCTATTCAAAAATCTTTTATAACTTCATTTCGAACTTGAATGAACATCACTTTGTATCATCAGACGAATTTATGACAAAAACAAAAAAGTTGCATGTAATAATACAAAAACATTGTGAAAGAAGAACGAAGAGATCAATTCTGAAAATATATTTCGTTTGATTATCATTACTTTTTTGTCCACTCACAAATTGACGAATTCAAAATATAAGCTGTTCTTGGTATACCTCGATCGAACTATTAAAAAGTCAGGGTATCTTAGATATATGTATAGATATTATAGAATTATTCATATTGAGATTTTTTTTTTAATATTGTGAAGAGTATTTTCAGATTTTATTGAAATTTTGTTCAACATTGAAACTATTTTAGTTTCGATGTCGTGTCAAAGTTTAAATTTTATTTGAACTGAAAGTGAGACAATGAGTATTATAATATTTCTGTACTTCACTATGCATACAGATCAAGCAACTAAATCAAGTAGAAATAATAAATGAGCTGTTGCATCAAACAGAAACTATTAATATTTGTTCTTTATATTTAGTGATTGTGCAATAATACTTATAAAATTATCATAAAATAATCTTTGGTTTCTCAATTTTCAGAACTGTCTCTCGATATTATGAAAGCATAAGTTTACTAGATTGGTTGAAAAACTTACAACTTGATTAAAATTAATATGATATTTTGAATTACTATTAAAAATTGAGTCTACTTCTATGTAATTCAAATATCTCTTACGGTTTAATCAAATAATGAAATTCATTAAAACGCTCTTTTTTTGTCGAATTATCTTTTTCTCACTAGAACGGCAGATAAACCAGTGGTCAATTTTTCTATGAAATAGAAAACATTTGAATCACACAAGAATCAACTCAAATTTTAATTGTGAATCAGAATATCATATTAATTTTGATTAAATCATAATTTTTCTAACTAATCTGCTAAAAACCAGTAAAATGCAAAAAATTCTTTCTCAGAAATAGTACATTCCGACCTTTTCTAAAACTTTTGTTTTCAAAATCTTTACAATGGTTTTGTAGAGCGGGAAGAGTCAATTTAAGTTTGTTGTGAGATATTGATTAATATAAAATAAAATATTTCTTAATTTCGTCCATTAAATGATCCTGTTGATGAATGCTTGATCGTTTGGCAAGACTTCCTTTTAACAATAGATCTTTCTAGATATTCTAAAAAAGAAAATATCAATGATTGTATCGGAGTCACTTAAATACAAAATACTTTTTCTTAACGTCAATAATAGGTTGTGCTTGATCCCTTAAACATGATTCGTCTTTTCTTTTTTATCACTACAAATATACTCATTATATTAAAACAAGAACACTTTCATTCAAGGTAAAATAAAATGGACAAAAAAAAAAAAAAAAAGAACACAAAGAATTTACACAATCAAAAATGGCTAAAAGCATGAATATTATTTCAAAAAATAATCATTGATCAATCATTTATTGTTCAAATACTATTCGATTGAACATTTATCTAAACAAAAAATTTCAATTAAATTCATGGTAATAGTCAAAACATAAATATAATCAAATATTTTATTGATTTGAAATATTGTATTATAAATAGACCAATTTTAAAATAATGTGTGAAATAAGCAGGTAAAAATGAAAAATATTTTTATTGATTGAAAATTTTGTTAACAAATATATAGATTTTGTATAGGTATATACATATGAACAAAAACTAAATCGATGTAATAATTATTGTATGCATTCAATCGCAAAATTTTCATGATAAAAAAAAAACTAATGAATATGAATTCTTTCATCTATTTGAATTTCTATATAAAATTCATGACTGATAAGATGAAATAATTATATTTTCTAGATATATTGAATATATATTTATAGATAATCATGAATAAATATAAATTTGATTTGATTTATGTAGTTAAGACAGAGAATTTATTTCTTTTTCTTGTGTACTCAAGTAACTGGCCATGTAAGTTCTAGAATATGTTTGTCAGTATGATCAATGATTTTGATGACATTTATCAAGTATCGTATTAGGAAAAAGTAGAAAGAAAGATAAGAATGATTTTGATAAATATTTTTGGATTCAGACATTCGATGACATTGCTGATAAGACTATATTTGATTATTCATGTTGTTATTTTTTTTATTTATTATTCTTTGCTTGCAAATCTACTATTATGTGTATAATTATTGACATAATAACATCTTGTATTTTATTCATATTCAAACATTATCAAGAACAATCTATGATTATCATTTATATTGTTCGATTTGAACTTTAAAAAGAGAACAAAAAAAGCAAGTCTACGATAGAGTTCATCGTCAAATCATTATAAAATGGTCACATCGTCTTCCTACGGTCAATTGTATATGTTCGATATTCATCTTTCTCTCGTTTTTTTTTCTCTTCTATCTCAACAATGAGTTTTAAATACGAAGAACTCAGATTCTATACATATTGATATGTGCTAATCATTTGAAAAGTACAATAAATTTGTACTCCTTTTTTTTTTAATTGGTTTTTAGAATAAAAATATGAATTTCATACATTTTTCTATCGTATTAATATTTATTATTAATTGTTCTGCTGGTCCACTTGAAGATATGGCCAATATGCCTGATTTAACAGTAGTAAGTTTTGAAGCGAAATAAAAAATTGTTTTTTGTTTTTTTTCTTCTTAATTATAAATCAAAATATAGTTTTATCAACAATTAATGCGTCAACAAGATATACAAATGTTATTACAAGGTGCTTATCCTCAACAACAATTAGGTAGTATGCATGATTTTACAATATTTGCACCAAATAATGATGCTATGATGCATCTTAATCGAAAAAATGAAGATCCAAATTTACTTTGGAGATATCATATTGTACCTGGACGTTATGATGAACAAATATTATATAATATGGCACAAACAAAATTTAATCAAGCTAATCCAAGACAAATGATTGGTATTCGAGCACAAAATAATTTACCAACAATAGCATTACCTTTTCAAGTATAATATGTAAAATAGAAAAAAAATATATTCGAAATTCAAATTTTTTCTTTTAAGGTTTTTTATGGTCTTGGATTTTATGGTGGAACAGGTCCACATGTAAATGAAAGTTATGATAATGCTGGTTATGGTTTAGGTGGAATATCTTGGTTAACACATACATCACTTAATCAAACAAATTTATTAGAAAATAATATTCCAATTAAGCCACCATTCAGTATAAACAATAAAATAAAAAATAGTTCTAATAGAATTTGTATTATTTTCTTGGTTTTTTTTTTTTAGTGAATAATTATAATCAACAACGAAATTTTTTTTCAAGACAAAGTACATAAAAAAAAAATAATTTATTTGAAAATATATTTCTTTTCTTTTTCAGGTAGTTCATTACCAAATAGTCCAAATTTATTTCCACAAAATTTAACAAATAATTATAATAATGCTTTTAATCCAAGTATTAATACACAATATTTTCAAAATCCTCCGATATCAAATATGAATTTTAATCCGTATATTCAACCACCAAATTATGGACAAACAGGACCTGGTGGAAATGTTGGTGTATTAGTAAGTATTCATAGGTGACATAAAGTTCATATTTGAAATAAATAAATGAATCATATTTTGAATAGGTTTATTTTGTTTCTTCTTTCCTTATAGTAGACATTTCCGTAGCAAAAATTTTATTACTTGAAGTCAGTTTTTCTCAAACGCATGATATATGAAAGCTTGAATATTGTATCATATGACAGGTCATTACGAGCTTCAAATTAGTGTAACAAGTTTATTATCAAAGAAAGAATAACTCAAAATTTCTTTGCCATTACCTTTGATTTACTTACTATAATCGGTGCGTTTAAAACTATTCGTTTTTGACATTTTGTGAGAGTCGAATCAAAATTAACCTCTCATACTTGTACAATGAGAAAATATTAGCTTCATATTTAGAACTAGAGTTTTGACAACGATACTAGGAATTTGCTAGTTGCGGACTTCCAAACTCATATCTCTTGATCATTAAAAACAAGTAAAATAAGTCAGCGTTAGTCCTTCCTTTGATTTTAAAGTAGTAGATAAGTTTGTTTTTTTTCTTTAGATATTTTGA